ACACGCGGAGCACCTGCTGCACGGCCAGCCCCCCGAGGGCGAGGGCGACCCTGACCTGGCCCGGATCCTGGAGGAGGTGCGCTACATCGCCAGCCGCTTCCGCAGCCAGGAGGAGGGTGAGGCCGTGTGCAGCGAGTGGAAGTTCGCTGCCTGCGTGGTGGACCGCCTGTGCCTCATGGCCTTCTGCGTCTTCACCATCATCTGCACCATCGGCATCCTCATGTCGGCCCCCAACTTCGTGGAGGCTGTGTCCAAGGACTTCGCCTAGCCCGCTCCGAGCTCGGGGGCTGCGCCAACCGGCCAGCCACGCCTTTCTGGCTCTCTGCCAGGGAGCGGCTCTTTGCTTTGAGGCTGGGCCGGGCCGGCCATCACGCTGGGCACACCCGTGCCCGCAGGGTGCAGAGGTGCTGGTCACTCGCCCTCCTCCGGGAGACCCCGGGGCAGCAGGCGGGGGAGGCCGGTCCTGGGCGGTGCATGTGTGCATGTGTGCTGGGAGGCCACACGGAGACCACCTTAGCCTCTTGCCTGTGTAGGAGCCAGTGCCAGTCATGAACCGGCCTGACGGACTGCCAGGGGAAAGCAAGCCGCACTAGAAGCTATCTGCTGGCTTTTCCTCTGCAAAGACAGCTGGTGGAGAAAAAGACGAGAGAAATAAGTTTCCCTGTTTCTACAGCAGAGGGAGGGCAGAGAGGGAGCACTCACTGGTCCTGAAAACTGCTCCTCCCAGCCTGTTTCTGAGAAGGGAACGCCACAGCCTGGTGGGAGGACAGGGTTCTCCCGCAATCTGGGTGGGTGCTGTCTGGGAGCCCAGTGAGTCCGTCCTGTTCTGAGGAGCCTGGGGCAAGCAGCAGTCTACTGGGCCGGGCGGCTGATGGGAGGGCAAGGCCGGGCGGCGCTGTTTAGCACCTCGGTGTCTGGTGTCGCTGGGTGCCAGCATGCTGCAGCGGACGAGGGTTAGAGAACCCACACCGACACACGCTCAGTGCAAGGGGAAGGCCTGCCTGGCTGCTTCTCCGTGGCTTGGGCCAGGGCAGGGCTGGGGGCCTGGGGAGGAGGGATACGGCCAGGGCAAAAGGGTGCTGACTCTGGTCTCCATCTCGGGGCCTGTCCCCCGTGCTCACGCACCCCAGCTTCTGCTCTGAACGCTGGTCAGGGCCGATGGGTGGACTCAGGGTGTGAGAACGGCTCTACTGTAAACCCGAATGGTGATATGGGTCTTGCTGAACCATCTAGCTTGGTTCTGCAGCTTCTCACTGTCCCTAGTTCTGAATGGGGGCAGAGGGCGGTTTTCCGAGAAAGCCCTCTCCGGCTGTAGGGCGTCCCGCACCTGCCCACACTCAGACGCAGAAGGTGAGGCTGTGGCGAGATGGTTCGTTTGCTTCCGACCCCCGAGCAGGCACCTCACGCGGGAAAGGCAGTCTCTAAGCGGAAGAGATCGCAGGCGTGTCTGCAGCTGTCCACGGTCCTCGCGTCTGGGTGCTGCATGGACTTTGCACAGGACGATGGAGCCATGTGCACGCGTGTGTGTGGATGTGCGTGCACGTGGAATCTGTGTGGACTTTGCACAGGACGATCGAGCCGTGTGCATGCGTGTGTGTGGATGCTCGGCACACACCACCCAGGGCAGGGGCGTCCACGGGTGGCCAAGGCACAGTGATTCTGTTTTTCTAACTATTGTTAAAGTGTCTTTAGAAACAAGTTCAAGCACTTTGATATAGAAAGAGAATGCTTCGTTTCTTATCGTTATCCAAAATTGGATCCCTACCATGTTTTTGCTTTAAAAAGAAAACCTTTCTGGTTTTGTATTTTGTATGGGGAAAAAAAAACCACACACACAAAAGCAAGCGAAAATAGTTCCTATTTGACTACCCAAATAACTATACTGCTATTTAAATAGGTGATCACAAGGAGTAGATGTGACTTAGTTAGAAACGTGTGGAGGGTTAAAAACAACAGCCTCCTACCGCCTCTGCCCTCCCAGCTCTGTCTCCCCTCTGGGGCCCCCCCGCCGCTGACCCCGGGGCAGCAGGCGGGGGAGGCCGGTCCTGGGCGGTGCATGTGTGCATGTGTGCTGGGAGGCCACACGGAGACCACCTTAGCCTCTTGCCTGTGTAGGAGCCAGTGCCAGTCATGAACCGGCCTGACGGACTGCCAGGGGAAAGCAAGCCGCACTAGAAGCTATCTGCTGGCTTTTCCTCTGCAAAGACAGCTGGTGGAGAAAAAGACGAGAGAAATAAGTTTCCCTGTTTCTACAGCAGAGGGAGGGCAGAGAGGGAGCACTCACTGGTCCTGAAAACTGCTCCTCCCAGCCTGTTTCTGAGAAGGGAACGACGGGACCCAAGGAGGACAGCCTGGTGGGAGGACAGGGGTCTCCCGCAATCTGGGTGGGTGCTGTCTGGGAGCCCAGTGAGTCCGTCCTGTTCTGAGGAGCCTGGGGCAAGCAGCAGTCTACTGGGCCGGGCGGCTGATGGGAGGGCAAGGCCGGGCGGCGCTGTTTAGCACCTCGGTGTCTGGTGTCGCTGGGTGCCAGCATGCTGCAGCGGACGAGGGTTAGAGAACCCACACCGACACACGCTCAGTGCAAGGGGAAGGCCTGCCTGGCTGCTTCTCCGTGGCTTGGGCCAGGGCAGGGCTGGGGGCCTGGGGAGGAGGGATACGGCCAGGGCAAAAGGGTGCTGACTCTGGTCTCCATCTCGGGGCCTGTCCCCCGTGCTCACGCACCCCAGCTTCTGCTCTGAACGCTGGTCAGGGCCGATGGGTGGACTCAGGGTGTGAGAACGGCTCTACTGTAAACCCGAATGGTGATATGGGTCTTGCTGAACCATCTAGCTTGGTTCTGCAGCTTCTCACTGTCCCTAGTTCTGAATGGGGGCAGAGGGCGGTTTTCCGAGAAAGCCCTCTCCGGCTGTAGGGCGTCCCGCACCTGCCCACACTCAGACGCAGAAGGTGAGGCTGTGGCGAGATGGTTCGTTTGCTTCCGACCCCCGAGCAGGCACCTCACGCGGGAAAGGCAGTCTCTAAGCGGAAGAGATCGCAGGCGTGTCTGCAGCTGTCCACGGTCCTCGCGTCTGGGTGCTGCATGGACTTTGCACAGGACGATGGAGCCATGTGCACGCGTGTGTGTGGATGTGCGTGCACGTGGAATCTGTGTGGACTTTGCACAGGACGATCGAGCCGTGTGCATGCGTGTGTGTGGATGCTCGGCACACACCACCCAGGGCAGGGGCGTCCACGGGTGGCCAAGGCACAGTGATTCTGTTTTTCTAACTATTGTTAAAGTGTCTTTAGAAACAAGTTCAAGCACTTTGATATAGAAAGAGAATGCTTCGTTTCTTATCGTTATCCAAAATTGGATCCCTACCATGTTTTTGCTTTAAAAAGAAAACCTTTCTGGTTTTGTATTTTGTATGGGGAAAAAAAAACCACACACACAAAAGCAAGCGAAAATAGTTCCTATTTGACTACCCAAATAACTATACTGCTATTTAAATAGGTGATCACAAGGAGTAGATGTGACTTAGTTAGAAACGTGTGGAGGGTTAAAAACAACAGCCTCCTACCGCCTCTGCCCTCCCAGCTCTGTCTCCCCTCTGGGGCCCCCCCGCCGCTGCTAAGGCGTTTCTAGACGGGGATGGGAGGAGGGCTGCACGGGAGCGGGGGAAGGAAGCAGCCCCCGCCCCTGCCGGTCTGCACCTAGCACTAGCCTTAGGGCTCGTCCATAATCACGCAGCCTACCTCACCCTCCACCCGCTGCCCCGCCTTCCGTGTCCCGGCCCTCTGCGGGTCTGTCTTCCTGTGTTTCCTTTCTACACACACCTACACGTAGCATCCGTGTACGTGCACCGAGGCGTGTTTTCGTGGCTGTTTCTTGGTGTAAAGTCCAAGGTAGAGGTGGAATGGCTGGATTTAGGCTCTGCGCACTAGCAGTTTTGACAGATTATCAGGTTGTCCCTCCAGAAATAGCCAGTGGGCGCGCGCCCAAGAGCACAGAGCCGCGGCGTCTCACCCTCCTGTTCGCGCCGGGTGGCTCCGAATTTCATTGCTCTTCGGGCTGACTGGAGAGAAATGGCACTGCAGGGTTACTCCGACGTTCCCTCAGTTTATTACAAGAGAAGTTGAATGTCCCCTCGGATGTTTACTGCTGACTTTCATTTTTAAAATGCATATCTTTGATGTAATTTTCGACTGGGTTATTTGGCGTTTTCGTAATGAATTTGCTTGTGCCTTTGGAGTCTTTCTGCCTCATACCTTAAAAACGCGTTCATCTGCCATCTGTCTTTTGATGCTATTTATCAATTGACTTGTTTGAATTTTTTGAATGATGGTTTGAATTCTTATGTTGTCAGTTGATCTGTCTTTTTTTTTTTCATATATATACTGGTGTTTATTTTCGGTTGTAAAAGGTCTTCTCCCATCCGAGATGATAAGTAAACTCATTTTTTCTAGAACGTTATGGTCTCACCTGCTCACCTTCGTGTCTTCTAACTGCGTGGGCTTCATTGCAGGAACTAGATAAAACTGACAACCTCCCCTTTCCCGCCTCCACACAATGGCTAGTTTTGCTAAAAAATATATAATAATGTATTTCTGTAACATGATTACAATCTTCTTCCACTTATTCAAAATACTGCCCTATTTGTAAACTAAGTTCCTTTGTGTTGAAGTCTACTTCTTTTAACTTCTAAAGCTCTATGTGTCTTAATATATTCAAGTCAGCAGTTCCCCAAAACTCTCTCCTGCCCATGACACACCCTTTTATGACTGAGCATCGTGGTTCAGGGTCACCGCAGTGCAGGCCACGGCCGGGTCCAGTTCCCTGTCACTCCACCGTTTCATGGATTTATGCCCGTGGGCACAAATTTGAACGCCTTGTGTATTTACAATTTTCTAGCCTTCGGGCGCGACTGAAAGGACACTCTGTCCCGGTTCACTTGGGGATGACAGAGTCGGCCCCACCTGTGAGCTCGCCTGCTCCTCACCTGGCCGGATGTGGGGCGAGGGCGGCGGTTGGTGGTGGCCGCCTGCTCGTCCTCATCTGGGGTCCAGGCCTCTAAGGTGAAGCACCCTCCCTGAGATGCCGAGTGAATCAGAACCTCCTACGGAGTGTGTCCTCAGAACAAATAGAGAATGGAAAAAAGAAAATTAAAAAATTGACAAAACTCAGCTGTTTTTTAGGGGGGAAAAAAGAACAAAATCAACTTACTCTTAGTGAGGCTAAGAAAAAGAGATTCCAATAAATCCAGTCGGAAACACCAGTGGAGGCATCTGCTAGCTGCCTCGGGATGTGGGCCGCAGGGACGCTGTGAGCGATCACATGTCCACAGTCTGGGGACCCGCCGGGGACAGACGCCGCCCTGGAAATGCGGCATTCCAGGATTCAGTCAGGAAGTCAGAGGAGCCTGCAGAGACCAATAACAAACAGACTGAAACAGTAATTAAAGACCTCCGACGACCGGAGCGTAGGCCGATGGCTCCCAGCTGAAATCCACCCACACGCGAGGAAGGGTGGAGGCCGGTACTGCCGAGACCTTCCGAGCGCAGAGCCAGGGACACTTCCCACGTCCTGAGCCAGCGTAACCTGGCACCTGAGCCAGAAAAGGAGCTGCAAGGGAGAAGCCCGTGGCCAACGTCTCCGAGAAACAGAGGAGAATGTGCAGCGAACAGCAGCAAACGGCTCCTCCGGCGTCGAAGACCGGTATGTGGGGCCCGCGCGGCGTCCCTGCTGCGACACCGGCCGAC